CTTCTTTATTCGTCTACACGGGTTGTGGTGCTTTCGATCAAAATTGAAGTCATACAGGGACCAATTGAGGTGGTCAGAGCGCGCAGCCAAGACGTCATTGACTGCCAAGCCTCTCTGGACCACATGCACACACCAACCATGACTCCATCGTGGACGCTCTGGCACACATTATGTTGATCGTGTTCTTTCTGAGCTCGGCTTGCTGCGTTTGGTCAACATGCTGCTCGCACCGGGCTTGCGACATCACCAAGGCTCACTGGGCGACGAGTTGACACACTTCGTAGCAAGTCGCACGGGTTGCGCACCAAAAGCAATTCCTCTCTTTCCAATAATATAGTCGCAATAATGAGACATTCGAGGCTTGCGGCTACTACTGGATTCATAGCTATCGGAACCTGCAGATCAGACACCAGTCTCATCCCCGCAGGGCGACGACCGTTCCAGCTTCGCTTGCAGGCATCAATGATTATCAACTGTCTGCCCAGGCCGGCTATAGGCTCAATAAGCTCCACTAGCCTCCCGATGCTCGGCTACAGCAGTAGCGTGCCGTGTATCGGAAGGCGCCTATTTGCGTGGCTCCCTTCATCTAGGCTTCGGGTTGGGACCCTCTGGTCTGTCTGCGACCACTGACCTTTCTTGAATACGGCGGGTCTTTGTTGCGTGCACGGGTCTAGGTTCATGGAGAGTTGCGACCTGCTATGACATGACCAGCCCGTGTGCCTAGTCTCGATTGCAGTCCGGCGTCTCTGCGCGCGTCCTACCCGTCCAACCGTCTGGCAGTCGTTGACATGGCTTGTCATAGATTTCTTCTGCCAGACTGCACAGGGTCTGACACTGCATCATCATCATGGGGCAGGACGCTAGCGCGAGTCCGCTGTGAACCAGCCGTCGGCAGCTGGGTCAGGGTCCTATCATGCTGACGCAGGGTCCCCGCTATCTGTATCAGGGATGAGGTAGTGTGCTAAGGTTACCCTTGGTGAGATGCAGTTAACATATAGGCAGACCTTGTTTACTTTGTCACGCTTCCCTTTCTTTCCACATATCAAACGAAACGTTTCACCGGGCTGTAGCTCAATCACATTAAGGCTACAAAACCTCACCACCCCGACTCGACGCATTGTATTACACTCAAGCAACAACACAACCGTCCACACGAATTCATTAGAACCCCCACAGCCCACAGCCACACGCCATGTCTTCCGCCGAAGCTCAGCGCGCCTATCAACGGGGTGGCTTTATGGAACCTGTTGCAGCACAACAGCAATTCTCTCAACAGTACGATCTTGCCAATCCGGAGAAGGCCATGGCTTCTTATCAGAAGTGAGTATTGTACGTTGAAGTGTGCTGGAATCATTCTAATGATCACGTAGGATCCTCCACCAACACACCAAGCAGCAATATGAGTCCGCCACCAAGTCATCACGACGTCGATCACCCGATGGCAGCGAAATGGCGAGCCTGAGTACCGAGAGCAGCCGGGGCAGTGTAAGCTCGACGGGCTCATAATCAGCCGCATAATCCACACGATCAACACACGAAGCCCACACCGACGCATGCAGCTTGGGATGATGGTGCTTTCTTGACCATTAGCAAGCGTGATTATGCGAAAGGACGGATTTTAGGCGTTATGGATTGTTGAATTGTTGACGAGGAGTCTATCCATGACTTCGGCACGGATTTTTCCGCATTGGCTCTGACACGGCCTGTGACACGATGTATTGATTGCATGACCTATTCAAAGTACCACTACCTCTCTTGCAACATGTTCCGTCAGAGTGGCTTTATTGCTCGTTTCTGTCCGCTTTATATAAAATTGATACCATACTGAACAATCAAAGCCCCATGGCAAGTGTTCCGCATCTGGACTCAACCCACTCAATGACGATATTGAAACATAGTCCGAGTCTTCCCAATTCAATTCTGGCCTCACGACAGGTAAGAAGCTGTCAATGAACCCGTGAGCACATAGGCGCCAGAAACCCCGATTTAGCGGTGGGTCTTCCAACAGGATGCGCCATCCACTAATCGCGATGACTGTAGGCAGTGCCTGGGAGCTAAGACGTAGGCATCGACTGAGCTGACGAAGCCGGCGTGTTGGGTGTACAAGCTAGTAGCTATACGCCGATAGTAGCCTGTCCGCGCATGGTTTGGGCATATGATATTCGGGCTTTTAAGGCTTACTACATGTACCACTTCGCCGGCCTCAATGAATCGATTATAGCAAGTGACTCTCCACTCGGACAATGCTGCAGCGAAACTTAGGAACGAGGACGAGGGGGAGTGTTCCGTTGATGAGCTGTAGAGATGTTCTGACGTAAGTCATCCATTTGCTAGCTCCGGCGCTTGCAGTCGTTGCAGTGGTGCAGGTCGAGGCACGGGGCCAGCGGACTTCCTATGGACTCCTGCAAAGGAGGATACTGAGGTCAGTTTGCGCGAACTTGATCTTCATGCTAAGACTTTACCAGTCGAATTTGGCGCATTCGAAACTGCCCATCTAACCGGCGTTTGTTCAGTGAAACGATCTGAATACTAGAGGGTGGTCTCATTTCGTTGGACGAATTTTGTATGCACTGCCTCGGCTGTGCAACTGGACCAGTTGCACACTGCATTTGCACATTCTGCATCATTGATAGCAGCTACCGAAATAGTAGAGCCTCTTGTACGCTTGACAGTAGCGATCGAGACGGAAACATCTTGCATCTTCTTCGATGGTACCTAGGGCAGCAATTCCCATACCTTTCAAGCATTAGCGATCCTCTCCCGAATCAAGCCCACAGCCCTGTGTCGTTTCCAGCAACCGGGTCTTCGGCGATTCACCCACGATGCCCGGCTACTACTCCAAAGGTTGCTGAGTGGTCGGCAGCATCCCCGAGCACCTTTACCCGGACCAGATCTGGATGATCAATGAGTCGCGCGACCTCTTCGCCCCCAAGAGGTACATCTACTGCACTGTCTGTGCCAAGCGCGTGGCCATCCGGCGCTGACGGTGAGGGGAGTACAGTGACGCGAGTCACCTCGTAGTTGCTCTGGCTAGTGTACCTCCGGGCAAGTGATGCCGTTGACTGGGCAAAGTTGGCGAAAGATGCGCGTCACTTGACCCAGGGAGAGATGATGGAGAGAGGTGAGGGCGAGGCCTCACTTCGATGTCATCTGTGATCTCTGCATCACTCAGTGATCCTGTCAATCAACGGAGCCGTCAAACGAATCACAACGGTGCCCTGAGCTGTGATCCATGCATGGAGCAATGAACCGCTGCCGGTTATTGACTTCGAAATCACCTGCGTCAATAGTGTCACGACAGGTATCGATGGAGGTGAAGACAAGTCGAGTGACCAGGGCCTTAATCAATTTTGCTTAATGAGCATCAATTCGAGCCGATTTCGCCGCAGCGATTTCTCCGACGCTGACGCAATTGCAAACATATCTTCCCTCTCTCTCTCGCCATGACCGCTGCTGTGCGCTGGCGCACAGTTCAGACATCTAAGACACAGGAATGTCGCTGAAGGACATAAAGCACATATGCCTGGTGCTATCGGGAAAAGGCGGAGTTGGCAAGTCCAGCGTCACCACCCAACTCGCACTCACCTTGTCCCTTCAAGGTCACTCGGTGGGCGTTCTGGACGTGGATCTGACTGGACCGTCGATACCGCGCTTCTTTGGGATCGAGAACGCAAAAGTGCGACAAGCACCAGGTGGCTGGATCCCAGTACCTGTACACGAAGCGCAAGGTGGACGTTTGGCGCATGCTTCAAGTCGAGATACGAATGGCACAAGCAACGGACATAGCGAGACATACGGCTCGCTGAAATGCATGTCACTAGGTTTTCTTCTCGCCAACCGTGGCGATGCGGTCGTATGGCGTGGACCGAAGAAGACGGCCATGGTCCGCCAATTCCTCTCCGACGTCCACTGGGGCAGCCTCGACTACCTCCTCATCGATACTCCGCCTGGCACGTCAGATGAGCACATCTCGCTCGTTGAGACCTTGCTAAAAGAAGCTACGAATGATCAACTAGCTGGTGCGGTCATCGTGACAACGCCACAAGCTATCAGTATTAGCGATGTCAAGAAAGAGATCAACTTCTGCCGAAAGACTGGAGTGAAGGTGCTGGGAGTGGTGGAGAACATGAGCGGATTTGTGTGTCCAAATTGCAGCGAATGCACTCATGTCTTCTCGAAAGGTGGTGGTGAGGTAATGGCACGCGAATTTGGGGTGCCATTCCTTGGTAGCGTCCCAATTGACCCGATGTTCATTCGGCTCATCGAGGAGGGCAAGAGTCCGATGTATCCAGAAGGCACTGTAGTTGATGGGAAGGCAGTAGCTGTGGACGAGGTTGACAGGCCTGATGAGCAAGATGAAAGCAGAGCTGAAGGGTTGTTGGTGGAGAAATACAAGCTATGCTCGCTATACCCGCTGTTTGACGGGTTTGTCAAGGGATTGGTGCAAGCAATAGGGCCATGAACATCGTAAGTCCAAGGGCTGGAGATGATGGGTAGAATGTACCGAGTCACTCATGGTCCCTTGCAGACACTGTGGTGGACAAGGAACACGCAACCAACTCGATTCCTGGAAACTTGCAAGCATACTGGACGGTTTCTGGCGTGTGTTTTGCATAGCCACTGCATGCGACAAGGACCAGGATAAACGCGAACTTCGAGCAAAACGTGGAACGACAGGATATTATCTGGGCCTGTCGGATTAAGCCTTGGCATGTTGGCTGAAGCGGCTCAACGTACTGGCCAGTGATACTTCAGGCATGCTTTGCATCTGTCTCGCATCAGCGCCAACGTCTCAGCCCACAAAAGCAGCTCGGACGAATCGCCTCACTTTTCAGGCTGTCGATCCCGACCACGCTAGCACACCGCTCGCGCTCTGCGAACCCGGTTAATTACACTTTCCGACCATCTCAACTTGGACACACTGATCGCTGAACCCGGTGAAATGTCGGCAACGGGCATGCAGATTTATAATGCAAGAGAAGAGCGTTCCATGAAACGTGTGGCCGTTGGTGCAATTGGTAGCATGCTCGCCAGTCTGACTGCCTAGCTTGAGTGCTAGGCATGCTGATTCGCAAGTGATAGCGGTTCGAGTCCGTTATGGCCAGATACTCTTTTTTTGGAGTTCGGGCCCTTGGACTGCGCTATCAGGCTGGGTGAACCGCAGATGGTTCATTCATTTCATAAAAATTTCTTCGCCAGAGAACACGCAAGGCGTGACCGATCATGCTCATTGTTGGACCAGCTCATCGGTAAAGCGACGGCTTTTACAGAACGCCGAGGAGGACTGCTGCAGCATGTTCGCCGATGGCTATTGGGGACATATGCTCACAAGTGACGGACACACCTCTTGTCTTGTATCAGCTCCGCTTCTCGTTCCGGTCGAGAAGCGAACTGCTTGATAATAACACGAGACACAGTGATCGAAGATGGGCTTTGGCCATAGTCAGCATTCCATACTCTTCATCGCACACCCGCTAAACATCACGCCCGCTCATTATCCCCATCTACAAGTTCCAGACTTAACACCTGCAACGGGAGCTGCCCAGAGCTCGACCACTTGCATCATGGTGTTATTTCAACATTGCGCATTTCATTCAACGAAAATGAAACAACGGCTTGATGTGAGCAGGTCACCGTCTATCGTCATGCACCGGGAGTGCGGCTAGGGCTCTATAAATGTAGTTTTACGATAGAGACGCTGATTCTCCTGACCCCGTTTTCATTTCCAGTCAAGGCCGCATACCGTACTAAGCCAGCTTTGATAATGACCGTCACAAAATGTGCCTCGTGGCCGCGTAGACTTTGCTACCGACCTGATCAAACGTATGCTCAGAACAGCTGGGTCCGCTGGAATTATAGGTGACAATGGACACTGATTTGGTAGATGTCAACACGACTGACTGCACTGGGCCATACTCGTGAGCTGTCGTAATCAATTTATCCGCTCTTTGATAGCACTTAGTATAACCAACTCCTTGCCATCCTCGCCGACTTCACTAACGGAGTCTTCCAACACCTCGGCGTCAACGAAACCTACAACCAGCGCACTCTCGAGGTGGATTGATGATTTGATGGATGGGAAGCATTCAGCGGCTGGTTGATCAATTCAACGGATTCACGGCGTTCCACTGTCCTCCGTGTACATGTAAGTGACTGATATAGTCACTGGACGTCACGCCTTATGACCGATAGCTAAGAGACCTTGGAAGCCCGGGCATGTCTGCGAATATCGAGCATGTGTTTGTACACTATTTATTCACAAACCCACTGCTCAGCCGGATCCCTGCCTCGCCCCTCGCCGTTGGCTGTCCTCGGCTTCTGATCTGCCGTATTATTCCTATACAAAAAGAACTGTGCGAACACAGCAAAGTCAAGAAACAGCGTGCCTAGACTGCCCAGCAACCAGCTCAAATTTACAAGAATGTATCTCCCGTAAACGGCTTGCGCCTCTCCCGGCCTGCAATGGCTTCCCACCCACCTGCCGTGCCTTTGATGCGCGCAGACAGGAGCGAACGCGAAGATTGACAGCACGTAAGTCAGGTTCCCGATGCATGCGAAGAGGAAGAAGAGCGCGTTGAGGCCTTCTGTCGACTTGCGGCGGTAGTTGAGAAGCAGCTGCGGGACGCGGGAGCCTAGGTAGAGCACAGCGCAGATGTATCCGAATATCTGTCCCCATAAGCTGAGCTTGAGACTCGCGGCTTGGTCTTCGGCAGGCGTGCGATCGGTGCTGGTTTCCGGCGCGGAGGGGGAGAGGTAGTAGCCTGCGATTCCAGCTAGGACTACCAAGATAATAGCCGTGCTGTTGAAGAGGATTGCTTGGGTCCAGGAGCGAGGCTGGCTGGGCTGTATGGCGTCGATTTCGGTGACGCTCTTCGATTGGCTGTGCAGGGGTACGACGGGAGACATGTGCGTTCCGTCGAGACTTGCTAGGCGGTCGCGGAAGGAGGAGCGGGAACTGTTGCGTCCGCAGCCTGTCTCGGCGTCGGCGGCGGTTAAGTGGCGAGAGACGCCGCCTTCGAGGTGGCCTGGGTGGACTAGTGGCGTGCGCTCGGTCGCTACGACCGCGTCTCCATTCTCCACGCCGGTGTCCTTGTCAGGTCTTGGGTCCCGTAGAGTGAAGCCTCTGTAGTAGAAGCATTGCCCCAGCAATACCACATCGGCGAAGGTGTAGTAGATGGCCAGAATGATCATTGTCGGCAAAACGCCTTGCAGGACTGCACCTAGAATATTGAAGACATCTCCCAGCAGCCAGATTATGACGAACTCGATGGAAAGTCCTTCGGCTGAAGATCGCCGGAAATTTTCGATGATTTGGGGCGAGAAGACCACGACCCAGCAGGCTATGGATATGGAGCCGCAGATGCCGGAGAGGGCTTCAATGTCGAGACTGTAGCCTCCTGAGGGGGGAAACATGGTAATGGGTTTATGGCCAATGTCGGTTGAGTTGTTGAGTAGCGAGTCGTCTAACCAGAGTTGGAAAGTGACCAATGCGAATTGTGTTTGAAGCACAATCAAGGAGCGTCGTGGCAAAGTCAGATGAGCCGTGTGTGAATGATATTATTCACAGGCAGAAAAGAGAGGTTGGACTGAGTTTTGTGACCCGAAGAACAAAATAAGCTTTGCGGAGGCGGGTACTCCCATGGCCAATGACGCAGCGTTTGTGTCGACCTCGCGAGAAATTTTGGTGAAACGCATCTTGTTTGAAGCGGTTTAGAATTGTGGTAGAATGCCCGCAGCAGCCATGTCAGCCCCTCAGCTCACTCTCGACGAGATCGACGACTTGTTGTTCTTCACCCGCGCCAACGAAGCCGATGACCTGCAGCAGACAGTCAAGGCCTTGGCGCAGAAATACAGCTGCGCGGAGAAAGACATCCTCCAGGCCTGCATAGACCCCGACACCAGAAACACCGTCCTGCATTACTGCTCCGCCAACGGCCTGTCAGATCTTCTTTCCCGTCTCCTCGCTCTCCTCAACACCGGTGAACAATCACCCACCAGCGACAACACCTCCGTCCACCTCATCAACGCCCCAAACTCCCAGGGCAACACGCCCCTGCACTGGGCAGCTTACAACGGCCATCTACCTGTCGTGCAGAGATTGGTGGATGCAGGCGCGGACATGTGGGTGAAGAATGGTGCGGGGCATCTCGCCATGTTTGAGGCGGGCCGGGCGGAAAGGGAGGATGTGGTGCAGTTTTTGCTCGAGCGGGGCGGGAAGGCGGTGGAGACGGGCGGGCGGGAGGTCGTGCCGAGTCGGGATGAGGAGGTCGAGGTTGATGCTGGGGTAGGAGGGAGTGGCAGCGGTGGCGTGGAGGGAGGGGATGTGGAGATGGCGGGGTGATGGAGAAGGGACTGAGTCGACTTGTCAAGCGACATCAACATGTCCATGCTGCACGAAGCGTAGGATCGCATATTTGAGCCATCGTTCTCAACGACTGCGAGTGGCTTAAGACGTGCCGAGCGGGAAAGGTATGCTTGGTGCCGTTCCTGTAAGACTAAGAGGCTGACAGACGGCAAGGGGTTGGAAGACGATCAAGAGTCTGGCAAGGGGCAGGCCGGCTTGTGGATACGACTCGACCTGGGTACGGGAGAGCGAGGGATTACGATTGATGATAGTACGCGGGAAGGGCAAAGGGCGTGCCGTCCACAACACCGTAGTGAGAGGCGCAGGCGGTAAAGCTATGTCATGGAACGCCAGTTCTGATGAGCCATACCAACGACTTGCCACTCGCTTCCGTGAAATGCACGAAGCTCCTGAGCAACAACCTCCATTCGTTCTCCCCTGCAGGCCTCGCCTCGCCACGCCAACCAATGCCGAAGTACCATGAGATGAGCTCCATAATCATCGCCTTGATACCTTCAAGTCGAGCATCCATCCCGCCCTCCATGCTCCTCTCCGAACCTGACTGCTCGTCAAGCCCCCTCCTGCAAAGCTGCAGCCATGCTCGCTCCTCCCAAAACTCCACACCCCATCTCGCCAGAGAAAGCGTGACCCTCGTCCCCCTCCCCAAAAAATCCACGTACAAGACCAATTCAATGCCCCCTCACCAACCTCACCATCATCATATTCCATTCCATCGGCAGAATACCTATACCGTTCTACTTAGTGGCCGAGCACGACATCAGTTCGGAGTCGTCTCGACGGCGTGGACTTGAGTTCCCGCTCGTCGGTGGTTTTGGTTGCGCCAAAGCGTGCTGGTGCCGGAGTCGTCGATGGACCGTCGTGTTTCTTCTTTCTCGTGACTACATGTCCGCGGGCGGAAGTAGAGGGATGTCGTCTGACGTGCTGCGGGAATGGGGTGGTGGAGTGGTGTTGTATAAAACTGCAATACTTGGGAAGTGGGTTTATCAGCGATCAATTAAATGCAGTGGGTGGGTGACGGCTTGACGAGAGTGAGGGCTTGACGTGAGGGACGGCTTGACGGGAGTGACGCGTTGACGTGAATGGCTGCTTGACGGGAGTGACGGCTTGACGGGAGTGACGGCTTGACGGGAGTGACGGCTTGACGGGAGTGACAGCTTGATGCCCTGGCTGACTGCTTGATGCCTTGGTGACTACTTAATGCTTTCACGGCTCGACTCTGCGAACGACGCCTGCTCAACGCATCAGCAATACTCGACGCGGTCGATGGACTGCAAGCGAGGCAGCATTGCCTAAGAGCCAGACATGGCTCAACCACCCGTCATTCGGCTTGTTTAATCGCTAAAAAACCACCGCCCTCAACCCCCGAATCTACCCCTTCTTCTCCGCCTTTTCATCACCTTCAACCTTTTCCCGCCCACTCTCCTCCGCATCACCATCGACCTTCGTCCTCACCAGCGCCACAATCTCCTCGCCAGTCTTGCCAAACTCGTCTACCTTGCCCAGTCGACCCCCAAAGGCCTCAGCATCGCGCAGAAGCCGGCGCTCAGCAGCCTCGCCCGAGACCTGCACATTCCCGAAAGCCGCCGTCCACTGCTCCTTGTAACTCTCGAAAATCCTCCTCATAATCAGTCCCACATCGAATTCCGATAAGTGTCTCGACAACACTCGATGCAGGGTCAGCGTTTCTTTGGTCAGAGTCTCCATGTACTGTGCCACCTTGCCGTCGTCCTCTGCGCTGTC